ATTGTCTAGTTTATTTAGCTACTGTATTTTTTATGATTTGAATTTTATTTTATTTACCATACTGCACCTTCTGATAGCATAGTAGTGTCATAAAGTTATTATTTTATATTTGTTTACACAAGTTTACATAGCAATGATCCAATACAATCACATGACAATATTTCTCTGGTAAACATGATGGTGGAAAATGCTTGGCAACAAGAGTTTGTATGCGTTTTGCTAAGTCTACCCAAGGGAGGTAGGCATAAGTGTAAGATATGCCAGGATTGATGAAAATTTGTAAATGTTGACAATTTATTTAAATAATGACAATAAAATACATTTACTTTGAATAACTATGTCTAAATGTACCTTATAGATGTACACAATTCTGACTGTATCATTCACTTATATTATTTAATTCCACATTTGATTTGAAATGCATTGTATCCTTCGAGCCGAATTAGCGACATAAGAAAAATTGAACAGCGCCACCACCGTCCATTTTCTGTTTTGGCAAATATCCAAAAGAAACGATTTCTTTTCGGCTTCACGTTCGCATGCACATTCCTCGTTTCCTTGGTTTTCGTCATAAAGGAGAAAAATTTAGCGACACTATAATATAGATGGGGTATGACACAGTGTGTTCGATTTTCGAACACACCGCGTACCAGACTTCTCGTTCACGAACATTATTTACGGTGTTCGTAATTGACGAGTGCCAAATAACCACATCATTATTATTTTAGTGTAAACTAGTACGTAATTTTTATGTGATGGTTTTGAAAAATGTTTACGAATACAGAAATCAACCAAATTTTTCATGAACATATTGAAAATTATGCTTGATCGAGCCTAGTTTTTGAGTTATCGCACTCTGACGCCGGCTATACAAATATTGATCAAAATCAGAGTACTTCGGAAGTTGGTTTATAACAACGCATCAGTAGCTGCGGTAGTGTGAGGGTATATCGTTGTTTTATTTCCGGTAAGCTTATTTCGCTTGTCATCGTACTAACTTTAAATATGCACAGAACAACAGCTACGCATCTAGTGACAGCGATGCATCATGAGTTACCGCACAACAGCAATTATTAAAGTTTCTGCATTTCACAGCAAACATTCAATATTGAGCCCAGATTAGTGAATTATGTTTTTAATGATTGAACATGGTGTGTACCTTTTTTTTTTTATAAAAGACATACATGCATAATAATGCAAAGAAGAGCATGGTACACGTATGCAATGGTACGAGCATTGGACGAACAATTGCAGGTCACGTGTTCTAAATGGTGATCACCTATTGGTCAGCTTGAGTCGTGTCATACCCTGTCTATTTATCATGAAGAGCGGGGTGAAAGCATCCTACATTTGAACGTTTTCAAAAAAGCGTGCGGCCATGTCTTGTATGCGCTAGTCTGAGCAAGACGCAAAACCACTACATGTACGAGTTCGATCAAAACATGTCAGCACGGCAATGCTCGTAGTAGTTTTTTTCCATTTCTAGAATGTTACTAATAACTTATTTTATCCAAGAATTCATGTATTATTTCTAGTATTGTATTAACCCAAGCACTTTTGCCTACCGCCCTTGGTCTACCTATGTTATGTAATCGAATTAGATATTCAAATTACTGGTCATGTGACCAGGTAAATTGTTTCTGAATGAATTGAGAGTGAATAATAGCCTAGTCTAGATTTATCAAATGACTATTCTGAATTTGCAATCCACATTTGAAGGGAATTATTTTACATTAGTGGGAAAGTCTAACAGCATATTATCCAATCCCAAAAAAATTTCTGACATACAAGGCTTATTAATAATAGTTTTCACAAACCAGTTGTTTTGAAATGCACATCTGTTGTGTTTTGGTCAGTAAAGTGTGCCCTAATTTTTGAAGGGTTGGAAATTAGCAGTAACTTTTGATAAATTGACAAATTGAGCTGCCATTAAGTTAAGTAAATATAAATAAGGCAAAAACTGTTCACTCACTACATAAACAATCAAACAAGGAACACAACACAATGACATAACAAATTGACTTATAAATATGCCTTTCACTACATTGAATAAACTCATTTTGTGAACAAAAGAAACAAAAACAAGCAGCCTCTCGGCTGAGATAGCTCCGCTGTTAGCAATGCACATTTCAATTAAAGAACTGAAGATATCATTAGAAAATGAACAATATGCATAGTATCAATGCAATGGGACTTGCTGTTTTCAACAAGAATTCAAAAATATCATTTTTCACCATAAATGATTGTGGTTTTTAACAAGAAGAAAATATCACTTTTTACCAAAAATGACAAAAATATTCACCAAAATTAGAGAATTAAAGATATCATTACAAAATGAATAAATCTGAGAGAGGTCCACATGTAGTAAGTATATATGTAATATCAAAGCAATTGGACTTGCGGTTTTTAACAAGAAGTCGAAAATATCACTTTTTACCAAAAATGACAAAAATATTCACCAAAATTAGAGAATTGACGATATCATTACAAAATGAACAAATTTGACTGTGGTCCACATGTAGTACCTATATATGTAATATCAAAGCAATTGGACTTGTGGTTTTTAACAAGAAGTTGAAAATACATGTATCACTTTTTACCAAAAATGACAAAAATATTCACCAAAATTAGAGAACTAAAGATATCATTACAAAATGAACAAATCTGAGAGAGATCCACATGTAGTACCTATATACATGTATGTAATATCAAAGCAATTGGACTTGCGGTTTTTAACAAAAAGTCGAAAATATCACTTTTTACCAAAAATTACGAAAATATTCATTAAAATTAGAGAATTGAAGATATGATCATGAAATGAACAAATCTGAGAGAGGTCTACCCAAGGTACATATACAACAAGTATCAAAGCATTCAGGCTTGTAGTTTTCAAGAAGAAGTCGAAAAAGTAAAACATTGTCACGGACGACGGAGGACAATCACTCATATGATAAGCTCCGCTCGACAAAGTCGACAGCGGAGCTAAAAAGTACTTGTAAAATTATGAATTTTCAAAAACAAAATGTTTATTGATTGATTGATTTCTTTATTTCTTGCTTTATTTACCTATTTATTTATTAGTTTTTTGTGTCTGGCAATCTGAGGGGATCAAACTCACAACTTTCCTGATGTGAGGTGGCCATGTTTACTTGTACTACACTTATGTGCATGTGTATCCGACTACAGTGTATTTTTTATATTTTTTAATGATTTTTGTCAAGTACATTCAATTTTATATGAATCTTACCTTGAACAATGTTACATTTACCACTACATTTTCTGGTACACTCCATACCACACTTCCTCTATACGGATCCTGGATACCCGGCACCCAAGCATAAAGCTACATTGAAATGGTAAGAGGATTTTAATTAATTCCTTTTGATTCACTTTTGTGTAACAGTTGCACCATCCAGGTTCTCTGCGCACAGATGTGTGTGCAGATATCATATTAAGAAACTCACTAAGGGATAGAAATTTAGCAAAAATAAAAAACCTAAAATATTGTATTACAATAACATGACAAGATGCATTAATACCTAATGTGATATGTATTCAGAAATCAGTTCAGAAATCCTAAATAGCTACATAAATCACACAATATCCGCCACTGGGTTAAAGTATTACTAGGGTATATTGGCACATCAATGAATAAATTCAGGTCAATGAATACGTTTATATACCTCTGTAGTTTGTCGCCGACCTCTTCTTGTCCATACTACTCTCAATTTATTAGGTTGCCTACAAAAAACAAACAAAAACAGAATAATTTATTTTATTTTAATAAATTAACATTTGATTGAATAGTATAAATTTTGTCTGGACTTATGTTTATATGTGGAGGCGGAGATGCAAGATTACCAGCGTACTTTAGCTGCCACAAATATTTAGAGCTGTGATGAGTTCCTGCTAATCAAAAAAAAAATTACAACAGTTTACTGAATAATATATAGTTAAAGCCAATCTGGAGGCAAAAATAGAAAGTTTATATCATGGGGTAAAGGCAATGTGTGTTTGCTCACAAATCATTAATTATTCACATCAGTATGCAGAATAAAGAAGATCTGAGCTGAATTAAAGCTAAGGTCATGGGTAAAAAAAAAATGTACAGTTTTACACAGGGTGAATTTTTTCCCCATCCACTGAGAGAATAAGAATAAAAGTACATTGTCTATAAATAACACAATAATGTTATTGATCACATGGTTTTACTTTTGTTACAGAGTGAGTAAAAAACAAGCCTTTGCTGACAATCAAAAGAAAAGTGCAGTGAATGGAAAAACAACAATAAATCGTTCCAATTTACTAGATAGTTTTATTTACAGAGTACTGTGCAGTGTGTGGTGTTGGTACTGTTCAGTGAACAATGTATATCTAGTTTGCAACAGGTTGCTACCGACATGAATAACCAAAAACTGACACACCACTCTCACTGAATATTTGCCAGTATAAAGCACCTTTATTGACATATCTTCTTGGTGAGAATAAAGACACAATTAAATCATGTGAATCAGGAAAACAATAAATCATGTTTGTAAACAGTTTTTAAATGTTGTCACGACATGTTATTTAAAGTTATCTCACAATAAGAATAATCAGCTGAAATCCCACACTCAAAAGAACTGAAGTGGAGTGAGAAGCCTAACTAAATCTGCTTTGCACTATTGAACTCAGTGAACACAAAATTTCCATGTAACTGCCTCAGATGCGAATTCACACGAAAGACAATTAACACATTAATATAAGAGATTAGTTATATTTTTCTATGACTTGCGTGTGAACTTCCCATCACTCCTATTGTTCTAGGGCATAGACAGTGAACCTTAACCATGATTAATCTCTTGATTACAGGTTGGATGCTGAGATTCACACTTCCCATATTTCTCATTGGTAACCCCCCTATGATATCAACCACAGCATTAAGGTAATTAGCTGACATCAAACAATTCCCCTCTCTATAGGTGTAATAAGATCAAACTTTAACACTTTATATCAATAATCCCACTTGGTGCACATTGCATAATAGTCTAATTAGCAGCATATGAGGAGCTATAGAGATGTCAGCAAAGAACCAATATGCCACCTGTCAATGGAATACATGTTACAGTACTTGTCAGACAAAGATGGGAATCACTAAAACATGTTGTAGTGAACACACTTCAAAGTGTAATAACTGGAAATGACAATTACACCAATCCTTTGTGCTGTTATTGATGTCAGATGAGATTTACTTGTGACCAGATAGTTATCCCATGGGTACAGTAAAGAGTCTACTATCTTTGGCTGTGGAAAAAAAAAGTGGGGATTTTCTCTTATTAAATAATAGTCATAATTATTTCACTATATTCAATTCTTACTAGCAACATAGGATTATTACTTCATGTTTGGTAAAAGATATTTTATTGTGAGCATATACAATACAAAATAGACAAGCTACATACAGAAACAAAGACATCTTGAGTTGCTTCAAAATATAATGAGGAAAAGACAAGTTTTAAAGACATCGTCATTTATTAAACTTGTGAGCATGATAAAGCAACAGAATGAAGTTAGCAATTCATGTCCATAGGGGCTGGGAGCTCTTTTATTATTGTACTGATTATTTTTCTTCTTCTTCTTCTTCTTCAGCTGTTTATTTTGTTAGCTTGTTTTTTCTATGATGACAGTAGATAAAATGAGCTAGTGCATCTGACTTTCAAAATATTGATTGACCATGTGGTTCAGCAGCTATGATGATTTGAAGCACAAATAAAAGTGGTCTATTTAACATACTTCCTTGGGCAATCTGAAATTTTTGTTGTGACATCATTGGCATATGTACTACCGAAAAATTATATAACGAATAAAAAGTACATTATATAATCACATAAAGCTTTTGGGGCTTTTTCTCTAAAAAATAGCATCCTTTCAAGAACCACTCATTTGATTGTTCTGTAAGTAAATTTGTATCATATATGGCTCTTGTATTTGTTAAATTAATATGATTGTGCCGATTAGTCCTGTGGTTTGATGACAGTTTTGAAAACGCAAAAGTACTCTAACTATATGATTATAATCGAAATGTCTCTTGCTGTTGTGCTACTGTGATTAAGGTGCCTAGCGAGCCGCTTGTGGAAAGACTGGGAAAACATGATCATAGTGCTGTGTCTGCCAATCATTCCAAGGTGAGAAGATAAATAATGTTAACACAAGTAACACGTACATGTCAATAGAATCAGCCAACAACTGGTCAGCCAGCATGTTGTTTACTTTGCACTTACGTTATAATGATTTAATTAAATGTTCGGTCACAGTCCCTTAGACTGTAGTTTAGTGTACAACAAGTACAACCACTTCTGGAGGATGGAAAGACGTCTTGTTGAATGACATAGCAATTGTTTGTCTGTGGTCACAAACCATCTATGTTCAGAAGATAGTTAGAAACATAATTTTCCTTATTTCAATCCCCAGTAGTTGTATATGATGTTATTTACAAATAAAATGCTCTGATCGTACTAGAGCATCTTTCCATCTATATCTAAATTTGTTTTCCTATTGAATGTTACACCTATGAGTAGATGGCTCTTTTCTATTAACACTGAAACAACATTTGTTTCAGAAATAGAAATTATATTTCTGAAACACTATTTGTTTCAGAAATAGAAATTATATTTCCATGGAGCTATCAATACAATGTTAATCGCATATTTGTAAGAAAGCTCTGAAGGGCAAACCACCAAATGTAACGCAAGTATGCAAAAACCTTTGTCCCCACGTTTGTTTGGTTTAGCGATTATTGTCATGAAATTCTCTATTTGAGAAGCATGACTGTTTGATAAAAAATAACTAAAACAATGATTGCTGCAATTACACAACAGCATTTAATTTGCTGTGTATACACGTTCTGCTCAAACCAAGTTCGGCTCTTGTAAACTCTCAGGGTTGAGCTCTGATAGGATTGGGCCCCGACATGGCTCCGACAGTGTAAATGCATCAGGGCCCAGTGATAAGGGACAAAATCCCACCAATGACTAATATGGGTATGTTGCTACACTGTGCGAACAACTGTGGATGAATGAAAGGTTTCAGCTATGTTGTTTTCATACCAAGCTGTTCCGTTCGGCTCTAAGCGAACTGGATTGGACTTGAGTGGATTTTGGCTCTCGTTCGGCCTCGACCATGTAAACACATTGGAGATAATCTCTGGTTAATTGGGAGAGCTGTAGTTTGGCTGTGATAGAATGCTGTCATGTTAAACTTAACATACGACAGGCTGGTGGTACACAATATAGATAAAACATTCTGTTAATTACTGGTCCAGAATATAGACTAGTCCAACCCACAGCTGCCAAGTTTCAGTAGTCGATACATCATGAAGACTCTTCTAAACCCACCAACATTGGTCACATAGTTTGATAACTAACTTGGATTCAAAGAACCTAGATACATTGGAGGGCCTCAACAATTTGAATTTTTTGTAAATGACATGGTATGTGTATTAACATCAAGTGACTTTTTTAATTTACCAAACAAAAATACAAAATTTGTTAACTCTTGAATTTTTAATTGCAGAAGTCTATAATATCTGATATGATATGGGTATATTAAAAAAAGAAATTATTCAATTATTCACATGATTTAGCTGCCATATTAGATTAATGAGAAATGGCTCAAAAATCAATTTCACTGGAACTACTCAATCAATTGCTCAGAAATGTGTGTTATATCTTTTAGGTTTCACAAGACATCAAGCCCTCAAAACTTCTCATACTTATGGTGGTCTTGGTGTATTGTATTAAATATGTAATTAAGATTATGATTAGTCACATGGTTTGACCACCATCATCATTAAATACAAACTAGAAGAGCTATTTTAGAGAAGAGATATTTTTGGTATACCATCAATTTCTAATGAACATGTTGAATGACACAAAAAATCAACAAAAGGTTGTCATGCATCATAGATTTGTACGAACAAAATCATAAACTAATCAATATTGGCAACAACAGACGCTTAAACCCCTGTAATACTGTTTAATTACAATTACAATTCCTTCTTTATTGACAAACTTACAACAAATTGCAAATTGTAGATCAATTAGAGACAATTTATGTGAAAAGAATATCTCTGTACAGGTTTCTAGAGATTTACTCATGATCTGTTTGTAATTCTGAATTTCAGGGATGATATCATATGTGTGAATGACTTTTACCGGTAAGTCAACTAGATTTTGAATCCCAGTGGGTTTATACAGGTGTATAAGATCTTGCCGAGAGAGGGTATTGTCACTATCTGAGGTCACAAGTTAAGGTTAAACTTGGATTTATCAGACAAATTACCAAGCATCAGTATGAATTATGTATTGCCTTTTAACTGTTAAGATAACAGTAATCCTCTTTCTTTGCTTTCCCTGATGCCACGACTATGTTATGTTTCTTCTTCAGCTACAATATTATCCAAATACAATCGAAACAAGGCCTCATCGACTGACCTTATTTTGATAATTTGTAATTTTAACATGGCTTCATGCAGAGAAACATTGAAAGAAACTGGATTTCAGGCCATTTTGACATTTGCGATTCGACGGACAGTTGGTGCACAATATTAAATATCGCCGCACCAAGTATTTTCTTAATAAAATAAAAACATTATTTTAAGTCAAAAACAATACGTTTGTTGTAGTAAATATAATTTTTAATACATG